CCCCCCCCCCCCCCCCCCCCCCCCCCCCCCCCCCACCGCCCCCCCCATCTCTCCGCCCCGCCAGACTGTTTGCGAACTTTTTTTTTTTTTTTTTTTTCCCCCGCGTGTTGATTCATTTCGCCTCTTCGCTGATGCATCTGCAAAACGCAGACGCATCTCGGAGGAGCGTGAACTCAGCAGCATCGCCAGCCCCGACATCTCCACCGCCACCACCACCACCATCAGCAGCAGCAGCATGTCCCGCCGCAAGCAAGCCAAGCCGCAGCACCTCAAGTCGGACGAGGACCCCGCGCTAACCGGGGTGATCTCCGAGCACGGTGAGTTGGGGGTTTGATCAGCTGTGGCTTCCACTTCCTCCTCTCAGCTGCGCTCCTCAACCTTACTGGTTCTTTAAAAAAAAAAAAAAAAGTTTTGCCTTGGGTTTCTGACCGATTAGATTTATTTCTTAGATGTAGACGAATGATTTTGCGAACGAAGCCCCCTTGCGAAACCGGTTTTCTTCAGTCCAAAAGTCTTTCCTCAATAGCAGGAAGGTCCGAAAAGGAGTTCTGTCTTTTTTTTTGTTGTATTTTTATTCACTCCCCCCCCTCCCCAAAAGGAACCAGCATGTCGTCCAGGTTGCATCACTGTCGGCTGTTTGCTGACAGATGACCTTTAAGATTAACGAAACAACCGCGCGTAAAAGAGAATTTTTTTTTTTTTTTAAGAGCACTTCACATTCGAAGCATCTACATTATGTGATGCAGGCCTTTTTCTCTTTTATTCACAGGCCTCATTCGAAATAGAAGCAATTCAGGGATTTTATTTAAACGTTAACATCAGAGCTGGACTCCAAAATTCAGTTAAAGTCGCTGCAGGACCGTTTTTGTTTGTGCGTTCACAATCAAAAACACACCATGCAAACACACACCTACACAATATAAGTTTTTAAAAAATAGATATGGTCTCCCAGATGTGGTAAATCTTTTATTCAGTGGATTTAGAAAAAAGTGCGTCTGATTAATATTCTTAACAGTGTGTATAAAATAAATTAAAATAAAATAAAAGACGGGTGTTTATTTTTTTTAATCGGGCAATCGTGCCTTTTGTCCCCCACACAGTGCCTGCCTGGCACTGCGAGGGACAAAAATGCGGAGTCTGTTGCAGGTCGAAGGCTTGTTTTGTCATGGAAATGGTTTTTGTTTACCCCCCTCACATAAATTTAGCACACTTGATTTGTTCCCTTTCGCGCACATTGTCGACAGGATCGCTTGACAGAGCTTGTCCTCGCCATATGGAGAAAAAGGATCATTTTCCCTTCAGCCTGTACTCGGGCTTTTTGCACAACAAAAAACCCCACTGCAGAGTTTGGGAGTCAGACCTGAGGCGAAGCGAGGAGCGGTGGGATATTTCCACCAAAAACTTCTCCTTTCAAAATGTTCAAATTCACGTGTAATACTGAAATCCAGACAGTGAAATCTGCTTCCGATTAATTAATTTTTTTTTTTCGATTGTGAGGATGCGAGTGAAATTAATTTTAGAGCTTTGCGTGGCTTCACCACACCTCAATGATAACACGATTTATCACTAACTTAAGGGCTTTATTTCTTAGTTATTCTTGAGAAATATATATATACATCAGTTAGGGATTATTGGGGCTCGTTCCAAACAAATCAGTGCATTCATTTCTACCTCTCTATATCTTGCCCTATGCTGGCCAAAACACACACACACACACACACACACACACACTTTTAAACACACGCTTTCCAAGGCTTCTTTAGAATAGAAATGCGTGATGTAATCTCTGGGGAGCGGCTGTCTTTGCATGTTTAAATGCTGGTGTGAAGGAAGGGGAGGGGGGGTTACATTGATGACTCTTGGCTCTTTTGTCCAAAATTACTCCTTTTTTCCCCTCCTTTAATTTATGGACTATTCACAGTCACAAAAACAAACTCTTTGGGTGTTTGCGAAAAAGCCCTCTGTGATTTTTGGTAGGAGCGACGAAGCATCCCTCAGGTCTGTCTCCTGTTGGATTGTGGAACGAAAAAGAGGACTACCCCTTTTCACGTTTGGACGATTTACCCTTTTACAAGATTTTAAAAAAATCCAGGTAAATCCAGCTTCTAGATTTCAAAACACAAAGATAGGAAACAATTTTTAGAGAGTAACGAGCCCTATTTTCTCACTCTATTTGGGGGATTATCTTTATTCTAAAACTTTCTCACACACACACACACAACATACTGTATACTGTCAGTGACATTGTGTCCATGACTAGGGAATGGCCAAGGAATGTTCTCTTCCTTGTTGAAGCACTATAGTGCCTAGCTTGTATTCAGGACAGACGCAGCAGTGAAACAATCCCAGGGCCCTTGGCAGAGCACAGTGAGCCCACACACTTAAATAAACCCAATAACACCATGTCTCATCCAAAGCTACCTTACACAACCGGCTCCTGATGTCAGCCTGTCAGTGTATCACTGCAGCGTGATCGGATTCTCCGCTCCCCTCCTGCTGCTGTAGTGAAGCTCGTGACCAACGCTTATCGATCGCCCGGCCTCGACGAATCGCTGCATATATTGTTGAAGGGGATTCAAAAGTTCCTGCCGTGCGTCCCCTCTCTCTCGACTCGGGCTTGAAATCCATTTTACGTTGTGCGTAAAAGTCGGGGATTTTGGGGGTGGTCAGATCTTGCTGGTGTGCCATGGGGAACCACACCTGGACTCCATACAGATGCAGATTGGTTACAATTTTTTTTTAATAAAGCATCCACAACATAGCTCTGATTTTCCTCTTTGCTCTTTCATTTGTGGCTTTTTAAAAAAAAACAGTTTTCCACTACACCTCAGCAAAGGGGCTTTAATGGGATGCTTCCCTAGAAAAAAACAAAAACAAGTCAAATCCAGCACCAGCAAATCCCTGGGTGGCATGTAACCCCCCCTCGTTCTCCCCTCAGGACTTCCGGACACTTGCCCCCCGGGGTTATGGGGTTGGGGGGGGGGGGGTAGTAGTGTGTAAGTGTTAGGATGGGGAGATCAGGAGAAGGAGGAGGGTGTGTGGGGGTGTGCTTGGGAGTGCTTTTACAAAGCTTTGCTGACTTAACCTTTGCGCGGCCCCCGGCAGGCCGGGTCCCGCCGCTAGATGTCCAGCTCTTTGTACAATTAGAACGTGTGTGTCGCTCGTGTCCCGGAGAAGTGTGAGCGGCGACAGGCTTTTCACCACGCCGCCACTTCCTCTGCGGCCCAGCGTCTTTGAAGGCGTGCGCGCGGAGGGAAGGAGGGCGAAGATTTACAGGAGATTTTCACCGGGGGCACCGAGAACACGCTGGAGAGTGAATCTTTGCACTGTCTCTGCCTCCTGAACAGCTGTAAATCTCAGTTAGAACGCTCGAGACGATGCTTTTTTCCTTTTTCTTTTCAATCGTGACATCCAGGCCCGGCCGGGCTGAACATACGTAGGGGGAAACTTTCCTCACGCCCAATCACAAGAGGCAGGGGATGAGCAAAAAAAAAACACAGCAGAGTGAGAAAAAAATCCCTGCTGACAGTGACGACACGGTTGTTGCCCACTTCCCCCTGCAGTGGGGCTTTGTTTGCCTTTTGTTTTAATCCCCCTCTCACCACTGGGTGCAGGCCCGTGGACCACCCACTTAGTCGTGCCAGGGACGTCTTCAAGAAGGCACTCAAATATGGCTGTGTCTTAATTACTACTCAGCGCCGAAAAAACACACACACACGAGCCTGGCGAGATACTGATTGAGAGGAAGGACGAGGCAGGAGACGGAAGGGACTATCAAACATTATAGGCACCAGAGCAGATTTGGAAGGATTTAAGGCGAGGGAAAACAAGCCACCCGCAAAAGAAGGTACATTTGTTCATTATTAGTAGGTTTTAGCTGCGCTTTGTTTTGGATGATTTTAGGGGGAAAATTACAATCTGTAAATTTTCTGCTCAGTTTGAGAAAAAAATCTCAACGGTCGGTCATTAGATCCCGGAGCCTCATCCTTCTTTTGCTCTTTTGTGGATCCATTCCCACAGAGCCATCTTGCCGGGTGACACGGTCATCTGGACAGAGTGCCGTCATTGAATACTGTATTGCCGAACGCTTACACAAACAAATCGTTAATGTTTTGGCTGCTCCACATCTGCAGGCCGTGACAAAGGCCCCCTCTGTGTGCGCAGATATGACTGTACCACTCTGCAGTAGGGCTGACCGGCCCGATGACACACACACACACACACTCTCACACACACACGCAGCTGGGCTGAGGACGCCCCCCGGCCTCTGCAGGTCTGAGGATGCACGGGATCCGTCCAGGATTTGCTCTGTGTGCAGAGGCAGGGGTGGTTTGATGGCAAGAAAAACAGCTTTTATTTAAGATTTCGTTTGTAAGGAACTTTTTTTTGGGGGGGGTGTGGGGGTGGGGTGGGGGGGTGTAAAGTCTTGAGCAGCAAAGCTGATTTAGAAAATATTTAGAATAGCTGAAGGCATATCTGACCTTTTTCTGGCTGTGTGGAGCTGTTGATAAAACTAGAAATTAAGCTGAATGCTTAATATAACTCCCTTTAAAAAATATATACATATTTTGTCAGGCAAAATTGAACATACTTTGGATGAATAAGTGCTTAAATCTATAATATTACCCAAAAATATTAAGTGGAAAAAGGGAATTTGATGCAAATTCCATGTTGGTTGGACGAGGGAGGCCTTTATTTATATTCTCAGACTGAACGGGGGCTCACAGTGATGCTTTTCGTGTGGAGAAGGCTACTTTGTCCTTAAGGGTGTTTTTTTCTTATTTTTTAAAAGAAAGATGGATTTTTAAAGGGACTTATGAAGACGCAGCTCAGAGATCAGTAGATGTGCTGATCACTGGTTGCTGTGGCAGCCTTAGAATATGTTTGTATGGAAAGGCCGGTTAAATGAAAGAACTCTATTTCTTTAGATGAGACGGTGACAGGTTAAACGCTGCATTTCTCATTGTCTGCGTATGTTTTCATTAATCCGACTCGGATCTTGATGGGAACATGGAACATTTGTAATTGGCCGCTGCTTTCGCTCTGTGACTGTCACCGAATTAGTGAAAAGAATTTAAAACTCATCTGATAGATAGAATGTGTCAGATTAGCACTTTCAGTTGTCATGCCACGTAGATTTAATTTATACAATTCCCCTATTGACTGCGTTCTGCTAAATATTTGCATCTGGGTAAATGTTAAACATTTTTCTTTCTTTGTTTCTCAGCCAATGGTAAAATCAATACTTTCCCCCAAAACACACACGCATACTCACACACACTTATATACATATATACACACACACACACAAACCTTTCCAGTGTCTTGCAAAAGCCCAACAGACACAAAATGTCCCCTTGACAGCTGCTTAAAGCTGTGGCGACGCATTTCAGGAGAACGACAGTACAGCTGTTTTATGAGTATGAGCAGGGAGCTTTTTTTTTATTTTCAGGTGAAGCATAAAAACGATCAGGTGGTGTATGGCTGTATCCTGTTCTCCTGTAATTAACACTGACTAATTGTTGCAGCGTTTCCAACCAACACAATTAGCAGCAAATCTTTGCATCTTAATTGTTTTTCTAAAATCTTCACAAAAGGAAGCTTGCGCTAATCAAGGTGTCTCAGTATTTTAGTTGTCAGAAGAGTTAAGATGGAATGAAAAATAAAAAAAACTTCACTATGTATGTTTTTTTAATACAAATGGTAAATGCATGAGATTTATTTTTTTTAATTAGGACCTCTTCTTCATTTTACAGAATTACATTTTCAGGTGAAATAAAATAATGTGCAATTTGTTCAGTTTTCGGCTTTAAAAATGTTTAAATCCAAAAGGTAAAATTAACAAGGTTGACCTGTGCTTTGTGGAAAAAGGGGAGAAACGCTGAAACAGACACCTGGCCATTTATCAGTTTAAGAAAAATCTGTATTTCAGTGTGTGTTTTAAGATATTTAACTCCATATGTGTACACATGACCTGTGTATGTTCTTTGTCTTTCAAATTGTATGTGTATGTGCGTAGGGTCAGACTAATACAAAGGCCCCCACTTGTAATTGTATGAATGGATAAAAGAGATTGACAGTAATACCATTCTAATAACTAATCAGCTCAACACAATGCCTACTCATTTGTGTTGACCTTTCAACCCTCAATTATGGAAATGAGTGTTTCTGTCCGCTGCTGGACTAAGCAGCTTTTTAGCCGGCTGTCACACGTGGCTGATGTATCCAATCGTCAATTTCTTTTTTTTTCGCTTAAATCTTTCATTTTGAGCTCAGATTATTTTAATTCTCTGCAGAGGTTTCATGCCAAGATCCTAGCAGACTGATCACATTACACATTGACATTGCAAAAAACACCTAAAAACGAACAGATAAAAATCAGCTAAATGTTGAGGATTTTATATTTTGATCCTTAAAGATTTTTTTATTTCTCACCTTGCAACATATAGGATTGAATCGATTAAAACTGCACAATTTTAGTTCTATTACCATGTGGGGATGAGAACCCAGAGCCTGAAAAAAAAAAAAGGTTAACAATCAATTCACATACTCAAGACCACGATCATCCCCCTTTGGCTGCCGATTACAGGGAGTGTGATAAATTTCTTTACTAATGAGTTTCTGTAATTGGCACCAACGTCTCACGTCCGCTTCTCTGTGGCTTCTTCTGATTTAAACTAAATCATAAGCACTGTGACTCTTACAGGGTTAGTAGGACTGCTTCTGTTGAATAAGCACGTGCAGACTTTGTAACTATCTGGGGTCATTCGTTTTTATCATTTTAATGCTCACACTTTAACAAGATTTTTATTTAAAAAACATTGTGATCTTGTACACCTTCTCTTAGTATGATTTTAAATTAAACACAAAAAGATTTAAACAAAAAGACGTTATATCAGTATTTAAGATGAAAAGATAACTTACAAGGGCGTCTGTTTTTACTTGGTTTTGATAAAGCGTGAATTAGGTCTATGTTCAGAGTTTGTCCCGGTTTGTTTGACTCTTGATGGTTACATGTGGAAGAGGAAGTGGCTTCCTACAACTGTGATTAAACATGTGTAACTAATCAGAGACTTTGCTGCCATGGCACAAGTATGTAATTTGTAGAGTCCTATGTCAGGGAGCCCCAGAGAGCAAAAGAGAGAAAGTAACACTGAGCTTCTCTTTGCGGAAAGGATGTTTTTTTTGATTGTTTGTTTTTGCTTTTTCATGTCAAGAAACATTTTGAGGTTGGAAAAGTTTTTGCTTCTGTATTTTTCATTTCTTTTCTATTCAAAATGTTTTCAGGGCTACCATGTTAAAGTGCCATTGCTAGAAGAAAAGGCCAGAGCATTTGAAATTCATGTGGAAGTGACTGAGCTTGATAGCAGAGGGGAATCCTAATGGGGCCATCAAAGTCCTGATTTGTACCCAACAGATGAGGCAGCTGTGAATTGTATGAAATATTGGAAATCGATGGGTTCTATGGAATTTCATTAAGCGGCAGTATCCACAATTGATAGGCCCTCATAATTTGATGGATTGCACAAAGAAAATTATTAGCTGGTTCTATGGAGACGGTGCAAATGCACAAATCTGGGTCTTGAGAATTGGTGAACTGGGGCAATTTGTTTCAAGTAAAAAAAAGAAAAAAGAATATTGATTTTGGTTATGTTAAAAGAGAGAGAAAAAAAATCAAAGGTTAAATCTTTGCTGCACTGCAAAATATGTGTGGATTCTTTATTGATTATTTATTCATTAATTCTCTCACTCCCCACTCTCCCCTCCCTTTTCCCTATCCCCTTCTACTCTCCCGATTCTCTCCTGTCCCTCCAGCCCGAGGTGATGTGCTGGATGACGCTGACAGCGGGAATGAGAGCCGCAGCGGCAGTGAGGAGACTCATGTATGTGAAAAGTGTTGTGCTGAATTCTTCAAGTGGTCCGACTTCTGTGAACATTTAAAGAGCTGTACCAAGAACCCCCTGGTGCTCATAGTGAATGACAATGAGGACACACCTAACCCCTCTCAGGAGTACGCCTCTGAGCCCTCGCCTCTACCCAGCTGCCCCAGTGAACAGGACGACAGTGAGGACCCCAGGGAGGGCAACCAGAGTCCTGTTGGTGAGGGGGATGACGTCCCAGAGACGGCAACCTTAAATGTCCTAGAAAAGGAGGATGAACAGATGGAGATGGAGCTTTCCCCTGAAAAGAACATTGATCCCGAAGAAAGAGATGTTACATCCCCCGAGCCAGACGGCTCTCTACCTCAGCTCAACGATGTTGTCCCGTCTGCCGTTGCAGGCTACACCATGCCAAGCACCAATGTTACGTTGGAGACCTTGCACGGCACCCGGGTTGCAGTTGCCCAGTTTTCGCAGAGTGTCAGGGCGGCTGCGGGCAGTGGCGTTTCCAACATGGCTATCCCCATGATCCTTGACCAGCTGATGGCACTCCAGCAGCAGCAAATTCATCAGCTCCAGCTAATAGAACAGATCCGAAGTCAGGTGGCTCTCATGAACAGGCAGTCTGTCGCACAACCCGGTATCAACCACAGCAACGCAGCTGGAAGCCAGGGGCCCGTGTCCTCCTGTGTCCCTCCTGTCGCGGGTCAGCTTCAGCTGCACAGCTTCATCACGCCGCCCGTCCATCAGCTGCCTGTTAGATTGCCAGCCACTCTCAACAGTCAGGGTCCTTCACCTTTGAGCTCAGCAATAGAGGGGCCTCTCACACAAACACAACAAAGTGGCACTCAACAGTCTAACTCCTCGGTCCCAAACACGTCCTCAAATAATTCAGCGTTTCCCCCACCAAGTGTTACTGGATTGTCATCTTTGCATCCCTCTTGCTCATCAGCAATCACTAATAACAGTAGCACCAGCAGTAGCATAACAGGAAGTGGTGGGATAAGCAGCAGTTCAGCGCTTCCCAGGAATTCCACCACTCCTCCCTCCCTTAGCCACAGCAGCATCCTGAACTCTGCCTCCACGCTACCGCTGATACCTCACAGCTCCTCAAGCAGCGTCATCTTCCCAAATCCATTGGCAAGCATAGCAGCCACAGCCAATGCACTCGATCCACTCTCCGCTCTAATGAAGCACCGCAAGGGAAAGCCCCCCAATGTGTCTGTATTTGACACAAAGCCCAGCTCTGAGGACCCATTCTTTAAGCATAAGTGTCGGTTTTGTGCCAAGGTGTTTGGCAGCGACAGCGCCCTGCAGATCCACCTGCGTTCTCACACTGGAGAAAGGCCCTACAAATGCAACATTTGTGGCAACCGTTTTTCCACAAAGGGTAATCTGAAAGTCCACTTCCAGAGGCACAAAGAGAAATACCCACACATTCAGATGAACCCTTACCCTGTGCCTGAGTACCTGGACAATGTGCCCACAAGCTCAGGCATCCCATACGGCATGTCGTTGCCTCCAGAGAAACCGGTCACCACATGGCTGGACAGTAAACCCGTCCTCCCCACTGTCCCCACTTCTGTTGGGCTCCAGCTGCCCCCGACACTCCCCAGTATGATCGGAGGTTTTGCCGAGTCTCCAAGCCTCACTCCGCTCAACAGGTCCCCACAGAGGCTTTCGCCGCCCTCAAGTGAGTGTGCCTCTCTGTCCCCAAATATCACCACTGACTCGGGCATGACCACTACTTCACCCTCCCCAAAGCCCAACATTGGGAATGAGGCACCTCCTCTCTTGAAACCTGAAGGCATCCTCCTGTCCCCAAACTGCTCTGCAAGGCCAGGGGAGAACACAAACACCACATCTACGGTAACTCAAGTGCTTCTTTCCACCACAGTCACCTCAACAACATCTCCAGGCAGTAGCCAAGTCACTGAGCCCATCAGTAGCCCGAGCTCTGTTTCTAATTCCATCTCCCATCCTGTCCTACCCATGCTGTCAGACCAGTTTAAGGCGAAATTTCCTTTCGGAGGCCTCCTGGACTCTATGCAAACCTCAGAGACTTCCAAGTTGCAGCAACTTGTTGAGAATATTGACAAGAAAATGACCGACCCCAACCAGTGTGTCATCTGCCATCGTGTTCTGAGCTGCCAGAGTGCCCTAAAGATGCACTACCGGATTCACACAGGCGAGAGGCCGTTTAAATGCAAGATATGTGGACGGGCATTCACCACCAAGGGAAACCTGAAAACACACTTTGGTGTCCACAGATCCAAACCCCCACTTCGAGTCCAGCACTCCTGCCCTATCTGTCAGAAGAAATTCACCAATGCTGTTGTTCTGCAGCAGCACATCCGCATGCACATGGGAGGACAGATCCCCAACACCCCAGTCCCAGACAACCTGCAGGACATGGAGACAGACCTCGCATTCGATGAGAAGAGTCTAGACGCAATGAGTAATTATGACGACGACCTTCTGGATGAGATGGAGCAGGCTATGGATGATGAAGCTGACCTAAAAGAGTGTGAAATGGACCCATCCAAACCTTATTCACCTGGGAGTTCCCCACCGACTTCCATCATTTCCAGCATTGCTGCAATGGAGAACCAGATGAAGATGATAGACTCTACTGCCAACATGGCTCGCTCGTTTGGTCATAAGCCATCGCAGAATGGCAGCAGCTTTATGGCAGAGTCTGACTGCTTTACCATTGACTCCCTGTCCGCAGTGGGGGATGCCGAAGGCCAGAGCTTGGGTAGCCCCGCTTTGTCAGAGTCATCTGGCTCTATGCAGCATTTGTCTCCAGTTCACATCCATTCTGAGAGCCAGCGATCCAAATCCCCAGCTACACTCATTTGTAATAACAGCAATGCCATGACGGCAGACGAAGGCCCGGATAACAACGCAGCTGGCTTGGCAACAGTGAAGTCTGAAAAATCAGAAACCCCATCTCCGCTTTCTGTGACTGAAGGCACCGGGGCCCTTGACCTGACTGCCACTCAACCTGGCAGGCACTTCATCAAGGAGGAGAGCCACTTCAACATGCTGTTTTTAAACAGAGACCGAGGTGGGTATGAGCACATTACACTAGAACATATCACATGAAATGATTCAGTATCTGTAAAGATCTCATGCTAGAGTTATTACATGCAATGTTCTGATTACAGTTAAAAAATAACTGCTGTTAAATTTGATGTAAGCTAATATATTATCCATATATATGCATGATTTAATGTATCATTATAACAATCAATGTCCTCATGTGTGTTCTAGGGCTAAGCACACCTAATTTGGCCAGTACTGCGACAAACATGATCAAAATGGAGATGAACGGACACGGCAAGTCCCTGAGTGACAACTCACACTTGCCCCTGGGCATTCAGGTTCCAGCTGCAGCACCCCATACCACCATGAGCCCCAGCATCAACCCCATGTTGGCTCCCCCGCCTCCACGCCGCACTCCTAAGCAGCATAACTGCCACTCGTGTGGGAAGAATTTCTCCTCAGCCAGTGCTCTGCAAATCCACGAGCGCACACACACAGGGGAGAAACCTTTTGCCTGCTCTATTTGTGGAAGGGCTTTCACCACAAAGGGCAATCTGAAGGTATGATTTAAAGTTACCCTTATAGAGACAAGGTTATTCTCGTAGCAAAAATAAATACCTTTTAATGTGGGTGCTTAAATACTCTTCTTAATAAAAATACCTCTACTATGTATATTCAATTAGGGCTTTTTTTACTTTTATTCCAACCTAGTTACTACATTTATATAGTTATTTATTAGCTCCGAACTAAATTTGTGACTCACAAAGACAGATTCATGATGTTTGATTTTTCTCCATTCTGTTGCTACTTTAGGTTCACATGGGAACCCACATGTGGAACAATGCTCCAGCCCGCAGAGGTCGGCGATTGTCTGTGGAGAATCCCATGGCCCTGTTGGGCGGGGACGCCATGAAGTTCAGCGAGATGTTTCAGAAGGATCTGGCCGCACGGGCAATGAATGTCGACCCGGGTTTCTGGAACCAGTACGCTGCCGCTATCACCAACGGCCTGGCCATGAAGAACAATGAGATCTCTGTGATCCAAAATGGAGGCATCACTCAGCTGCCCGTCAGCCTTGGCGGGGCAGGTATCACTTCACTGGGAGCAATGCCTGGAGGGATGGACCGTGTTCATGCCGGCAGCAGCCCTCCCATGACGGGTATAGACAAGGCTGGTCTGGAAGTCACAGCCAGTCGTCCTTTCTCCAGATACATGGAGGAAAACAAAGAGATTGGGATCAATTAAAGACCTTTCTGTAATATTCCATGGTAGACATTGGCAAAGACTCAAAAAAACATTTGGACAAGGAAAGAAACTGCTGATCCAGTCTGAACTCACGTGTACTAAACTATGTACAGATTAAGTATTTTTTGTTTGGTTTTGGAAATATAGTATTTAGTACTGATTAGAGGTCTTTGCCTTCCACCCATCCCCTCTTCACTTGATATTTCGCCTGTACACAGAAAACTGTCTCTTGTTTGAGAATATGTCGTCTTGCAAGATTTGCATGGTACTTATTGATTTTTATTGGTACGTTTGACTGCTTTTATGAATTCCTTTGAAAACTGGGATCTTGTCCTAGTGATAAAAGAACAAGTGTCTTACCTGAACAGGACTAACACCCTAAAAAGGACAGTTTTGTTTAAAGACAGTTTGGTCTTTGTACAGCAACCCTGTTAGGGATTGTTCTTTTGAATTTAAAGGGCCGCGGATAGACTGAAGAAAAGACTGAAGTATGGTGTTTTTGTGCTCGCCTGATTTTTTTTTCTCATGAACTAGAAAACTTGAAAAAAAATAATGTTTGAAATATTTTAATCTTTACATTTAGTCTCTCAGCATTGTCTTATAATGTTGTCCTGTGTCTTTAGTATTTATGATATTGACAAAAAAAGCGGGTATACAAAAATATATTTAACGGCCCATGCATTTTATTGATTCATTTTTTTTTCTAAACTGCAGGCTTCACTCTGAATATCTCTGTCAATAAAGACAATATGTCCTTTGAGTTGAACAACAGAGAGAGATTGTAGGTTTTATTTGGATATCTGTTGAGACTATGTGTATCTTGTTACATGACAAAGAGGCAAGAGATATCCGAAGCTGCTATGACCACGACCCTGCTTTTAACCTTTGTAAAAAGAAAAAAAGGTGATCCTTTTGAAGAAATATCTATGTATAGAAATTCAGACAAATCTAAAACAGGTATGCATATTTTGTATCTCATAAAAATAGACATCATGAGTTGAGAGTACTTGTCATGTTTGTGAATGCACTTTTTAAAAACAGGACGTTTTGTCTGTGAGTTACCGTTAACCTTTCGACTGAGCTATCTATCACGTGCTGTTTTCATTGTTTTCGCCAGACCACTGCTCCGGCTGACAGAGGTGGTTCTCTGTTATTGCATCTGTGCTACTCGTCAGGGTGCAAACTCATCACTCAATCAAATCCTTCTCAAATAAAAAAAGAAAACAGGTTTGCGTTTTGGATGGTCTCCTTACCTGCATCACGATTTTGTCAAGTATTTATTTGTGTTACGCTCTTAAATGTTAGTCTAACATTTAATACGGGACATAAATTATCATAAAACTAATGGTGGGCTTTCTCTGTCATTTATGGAATTTACCACATCAGTGTTTCACCATGTTTTTACCTTTAAATTAGATTAAATTAATTTGCACATTTATGATGGATTCATAAAACGGAACAAAAAAAGGTTTATAAACGTATATTTTTTTTGTCTTTTTTAAGATTTTGTTATTAATAGATAGGCTGATTCAAATAACTCTTTTATTATCTGGCAAAATCTGCTGGTTGTACTTTCCAGGAATATCCAACATTATGGTTGGTTTATTCTAAGAGTTTAAATATGGGAGACTTTTTTTTGTACATATCAAACAATTTAGTTTGATGTATATGTTAAATCCCTGGTATGGTGGAATTTTGCGTCAGTCTGTGGATAAAAGACAAATTATTCTTTTAGTTTCTTATGCAGATATCCAACAGGTTAAGAACTGCCGATAACATCTAGAAAATCCCACTGTTATGATACATACTAATAAATATAATGAGGTTGTAGTAATATAAAATATATAGCTAATCTGAAATTACTGATTTTTATGATCTTATCACAATGACTCCGTCCCAAAAAACTGCATGCACAAGCCACACGGTAAAATATGCTAAACTAATAACATTAGAACCACACTAACCTTTTTAACCCACTGGGAAAATATAAAGACATCTGTTGATGTGTGAAACAGTGTGTGTTTGTGTGGCACAAAGGCCTTTCTCTCCACAGCTAAAATGTCTTCCAACGCCGCTGTGGCAGAAAGCTGACGCGTGTGATGGCACCGTGTCGGAGTGATGTTCTATGCACTGTGGGATTCGGTTTTTGTGTGTGTGTGTGGTAAAGTGATGGCAGCCTCCTCTCAGCATTCAGCCCTCCTGGTGCACTACACCTGACACATGGTTCACACATGTGCAAACACACAAACATCTTCACAGTCTCATGATACCATACCCCTGTTTAAAAAAAAAAGGAGAACAAAAAGACATAAAATTATTCTCAGATATGGTATGTGGGGGGAAAAAAATACTGTTTCGATCAACGTACAACAAAATCAGGTGCAAGATGAAAGCTAAAGCTAAATGCAATCACAGAGAACAAAGGCCGTTGGACTGTTTATCTGTGGGAAATGAGTGGCAAATCTGACGAATAGAACCTAGATCTTGAATTCCTCACATTACAGAGGGAGATTACGAGAGCCTTAAAACTCATTCCCATGTCAGTCTGCGGAGCCTGACAATAAATCATTCACTGGAGCAAAATAGTTAAGAGCCACCCATAAATAAACTAATCAAAAGATGTGATTTCTAGACTTTCCCTGGGCTGAAAAGAATGCACCAGGTGAGCAGCGGATACATTCAAGTCACAGTGGATGGGTATGATAAACCTTTTGGGAAATCTGACCCTTATGTAAATGTCGAATATAAACAGGGAAATGAATATACTTTGTAAAAATAACCTGTAACGCTCCTACTGCAGAACCAGTCAGCACCCCGGCACATTAACCTCCATCAAAGTCCGGTTTACATCAGTTTTCAACATAGAAGCACACATGTTTATTTTTATGTCATTTCCCCCCCTTTTGCTTTCACTCACATATTAGTTTTCATGCTAATGGATGTGCTATAAGTCTGCCCTCAGGAGCTCATTTGGGCTGACCCGGTAATGCACGCTGGCGTTTTGTAAGCCCATTGTTTGACGCTGCGCTGTCAGCTGATGGCCAGGCTTAGTCAGTGGAATTGTCAAGTAATGAAGAAATTTCATACCCACTGTTTTTCCTCTGTGAAGGCACTCATTTTGCTCATATTTGAGTGTGTGGCAACCAAATAAATTCCACTCGTGCTTTCACTCATGCGCTCGTATTTAGTGAATGATTCTGCAGACAGAGAGTACACATGCATGTGAAGACTGTTGTTTAAGACTCTAAATGGCAGTTCTTTTCAGATTTAAAATATAATTCCGAGGGCTCCAGCTCAGAGAAATGCTGTTTTACCTCAAGTGGTTATGCCCTCCCAACTCAACAGGGTTATGTAAGGTTAGAAGCTATGACACTGTATGAATGCTATTTCCATAGGAAAAAATGCTACCCAGATTTTTTTGGTTGCATTTTTATTATTTTTTTCCATTAAGCAATACAATAAAGTGGAATGTTCAACATCTGAAGTGGATGCAATTTCACTTCACTGTGCGGGAACTTTTAATGGAAACCAGGGGAGTCAGATGAGGCATTATTTGAGCTGTGTCCATTTAAGAGGATTTTAACAAGGATCATTTTAGCGTCAGTTACGAGGCTAATTATCTAAGCAAACATGACATGCTTTCCATTTCTTTAGGTCTTATTTTCTTTTTATGAAATGTGGCAGCCCTATTCTTTTTCACACTGCAAATTGCCTGGCCTGTTTCTTCTTCTTCTTCCTTCTTCTTTTTTTTTGGTTTGTTTGTTTTATCTGCACTTGACTTGTGTTTGTGCTCTACCTGTTCGGAGTGAATATGTGTGACATTTGGGCATGGCACAGTGTGAACAGACAGGCCATCATTGGGACGGGGCTGTCGGCTGTTTGTTTAATGCCCTGCCTACTGTGAAAGTCTCCCTGAAACAGGCGCAGTAAATATCCCCATTGATCCAGAGGCAGGGGGCCCTACGATGATGTAGTGGTGAAGAGCCTCGGGAGTAAATCTAACCGACAGTAATCCAATCCCATTCTCAAGGCTGTGGGATCTGAGATAGGTGCTTTAAATCCAAAAGTGTGCTTTTTTTGCACAATTTCTCTGCCTTTGTTGGTGCGGCTCCTCTTTTTCTTTACTTCCATGTCTCAGCTGCACAGTCAATCCATAGCCTGCTGAGGTGCCACAAATTTAGACTCTGGTTCATTCCACTGTCACATTCTCCCCCACACCTCTCCTAC